CCCGGGAAATTTACGCACTCTCCCGGGACACTGAATGTCCCGGTTTTCGAAAGGCTACGTGAATATGTATGTTCAAACTGTGTAGCGCGCGCAACGGCAGAGAGCGAGAGACCTTGCGTGTGTGTGCTAGTGTGAGTCGAGTCTGCCTCAAGAAGCGCATAAGAAGCGCATGTAATCTGAGTGTGGAGCGCGCTTGCTGCACGAGGCGCGGGCGCGAGCACTTCCGTTTTTCTATCAACAGTGGAAACAACTTAAAATAGGCCTACTACTCTATCATTTCTGGTCATAGAAAATAAACATCATTCGCAACAATACATCATTCGCAACTACTTTTATTTGTGTAAACTCACAATAACAAGAAAACGTTGTGCTTTTGTAAAATAAAATAAAACAATCAGTCGCGCTCTTTTATGGTCTCCGTGAACTGGATCGCGTCTCAAAATAAACAAGCCCATAGGCTAAAGCTTGAAATGTCCACTTTTAAACGAACAAATTCGAATCAAAAGAAAATACAGTCTGATTATGTAATCCATATGAATTTCTTCTCTAAAGGCCCATCTGCTTTACAGCGGAGATGGAGATATGTTGCAGCCGATTTAGAAAATACTAGTTTATTAATAAACAATTAAAATGCCTCGTTACTTTTTCAGAAACATTTATAATAGCCTATAAATCATCTATAGCCTTAGAAATATAGTGTTTGGCCTTAGAAAACCATTTTATCCATATAATTTGTGAATATTTTAAATGCTTATTAAAGGGGCAAAAAAAAAATCATGAACAAAAATCTGAAAATACGCGAATATAGGATATATTTTTGCGCAGCATTTGGTGTATAGGCGGGCCTACAGTTAAAATTTAAATTTTGGTGTTCAACCGTTCATTTTTGGTCTTCAAACACCCCTCTCCCCCCCCCCCCCCCCCCCCCAGTTGGGCGGGTAATATGTCCCGGTTTTTTATCAGACATAGGTGGCAACCCTAATCACTACTGTATACAAAAAAAATGTACTTCTCAAAGTTATAACATTATTATGTCTAAGGAATATCATACACCCAAGATATTTTCATCCCTGTTTTAAATGTATACGGTTCTGTTGTGCAGCATCTTATTTGACAAAAATAAAATGTAATGTGTTGTTATTAATTAATTGTTATATTTTCATTTGATTAAATTTTCAAAGCTTGATTAAATTGTTAAAGTTTAGCTATATCAATTTATATTGAATCCCACAGAATCCCCCCTAAAATTTAATAGAAAATACTGAATTTAGGGAAAGATCAAATTAATTTCATGATTCCCTAAATTAAAAGGTACACTCTGAGTTTAATTGTGAACAAACAAGTTTACTTGTTTACCTTCATTCTTAAGATCTAACAAATGTGCGGAAAGCATTCCCCATTAATGGTGATAATATAGATAGCCTATCGTGTGATATCGAAAAAAATATCATAAAATCGCCCAGCCCTGTCCTAGACAGAATGCCTTTTTTTTTTGTAGTAATTATCTTAGTGGTTTATTCTAAGCCTAAATAAAACCTATCAAGGAATAAAAACAAAAGCAGATGAGGATGTTGAAAATACAGAATACAACATATATGACTAATTTCTTGTTTTTTGATGCCGCAGGAAGTTATGATGGTCAGGCAGACGCATTACACAGCGCTCTGAGACGGAAGAGAAACCTTCTACAGAGACTGAGGGTACAGAAATGATACTAAAATGATTATTCTTCGCACTATAAGAAGAGTTTCTGTTAAACTTATCAAGATGATTAAAACAAAGACAACCTTGAAGTAGTGTGGACCTAATGGGTGGAGCTTAACCTAATTTAGATTTAGGGATAGGGTAAGCTTAGGAAAGGGTGTGGCTGGACCTTCAAGCTCCACCCATTACGTCCAGAGATGGGGAGCTGAAAGTCAAGCTCCACACATTAGCTCTGCAGTAAGCAGCCTCTCATCTTGAACAAAGTGTCATGTAAATAGAATCTTTGTATCACTTAAATCACAAATATAAGTGTGCATTTGGGTATGTTTATGTGTATGTAACAGGAACAGCATATGATGGAGGATCTGGGAAGGCCACACACATGGGATGGATCTCATAGGCAATATCATTATGAACCTCTTCTTGGGCCACTCCAGCCTGTGCCCCCCATCCATGTCCACCAAAGTGCACCACCTGCTCCCCTCCCCCCTCTAGTCCCTCAGCCCCCTCGAATCATTCAACACACTGTATGTTAAGTTTTCTTATGTTATATTCTCTTTCAAGCACCTGGCCTGATCCTGGACACAGCATATCTACTTTTACTATTCCAGTTCATTTAAATACCTTTATAGCTGTTCTAAAATATACAAGTACATAATAACTATTTGTGTATATGTGTCTATAACAATGATATATTGCTGGCACTCCTCTAATAACTTATATTTCTCCTTCCACAAGGTTCCTCAACAGCCAGCCACCATTATCCAGCAGTTACCACAGCAACAGCCTCTCATAGCACAAATCCCTCCCCCGCAAACCTTTCCTTACAGATCAGGAAGTATTAAAGAAGGTATATACAGATAGATACATCAAATACAGAAAAAACAACAGTATACTAAACCATGTAGCATTGTATACTATAACAACAGTTATTGTATACTTATTTGTAAGTCGCTTTGGATAAAAGCGTCTGCTAAATTAATAATTGTAAATGTACTAAGCCAAAAAGTAAATAAGTAGCCTAATAATAAAGTAAGTAATAGTGACTATAGGAGATTTAAACCTGGTTACAGGTACTTCCCAACAAAAAGCAACTTATAAGAGAGAAAATATATTGTGCTTCAGATTATTCTTTAACAAATACAACATTTGGGGGTCAGAATTTAAAAAAAAAATGTGTGTGTAGTTTTATTTAGCATGGGACACATTAAATTGTTCAAATGTGACAGCATAGACAATTTATAATGTTCCAAAAGATTTATTCAAATAAATGCTTTTCTTCAAACTTTCTGTTCATCAAAGAACCCTGAAGAGAGCTCTTCCATACTTTCAATACGTCATTAGGCAGCACAAACATTTTCAACTAATAATAAGAAATGTTTCTTGCACAAAAACAGCATATCACAATGATTTATGAATGATTTCATGTGACTGAAAACTGAAGTAATTTCAGCTGAAAATGTGTTTGCCATTATAAAAAAAAAGACAATATATTGAAAAACAGTTATTTGAAATTGTAATAATATTTCACAAAATTGCTGCTTTTGACTTGTGATCAAATAAATGCAGTCTTGGTGAACAGAAAAGCATGACATTTTTTACTGATCCCAAACTTTTGAACAGTATGTTTCAAGTTGCATGCCTGAAACATCAATAGTCTGTATAAGAACTAAAGAAATAAATGTCTAATTTGAGACTAAAGAAATAAATTTCTAAAACAGCAGTTCAAGGTTTAAGCTATAGGCCAAGAGTTCTTCACTTCATTATTCTCATGACAACAGATATGGTGGAGTTGATGCTCATGCAGAATGCTCAGATGCACCAGATCATCATGCACAATATGATGTTGAAGGCTCTTCCACCAACGGCCGTGTCCCCAGGAGGAAACACACATCACACAGCCTCACATTCAGGGCAGGTAACCAGGGAATGTTGTGTTCATTATACATAAAGTTGATATGTGTTCATTTCACAATGTAGTATTAAGTTACAATGCTAATTTGATGTTGTTCAGGAACTTTATTCACCAGTGAGAGGAGGAGGTGCTGTCCATCATCATCATCACTACGGCTCCCATGGACCACCTCTCCCTCCAATTGGCTACTCTGTTTGGCCATCTATGATGTCAGCAGGACAAGGCGGGACTTATCAGCCAACAATGCAGCACGTGATTGGTCCTGTAACTCTGCCTCCTTTAAACACATAAGAATCAACAGTGTAACAATATCAATAAATAAAAATAAAATAAATTTAAAAATGGATCAGAAATTCTTTGGGAACAGTTGCTTGTAGGTTTTGTCTCTATACTCTATAAGCTGGTTGGCCAGTTTCATTAACTGCTTAGACAAGTCGTCATCTATTTTTTTTCTTTAAGACTGGTCATATAGTAAAGTCAGTTAGATAAAACCATATTGGTCTAATTTGAATCAGAAAAAGAAGACTTGATTTCTCCTTGGCTAACTGCTAGTTGGTCAGACTATGTTTATGGAACTGGCCCCTGCAGGACCTAACTCAACTTTATCATTTACAAAACCTTGTGTTGTATACATATGTTTTTCATATATATGAGGTGTTGCTGTGAGATGTTTCACATACTGAGTGTACAGTACAAATGTTTTGGCCAGAAACATAAAAATCACTACATAACACTACATAATTGTTATCACTACACAAAATGCTTTGTGGTACTTTTGGTTTAAAATATTCACTTGTCACTTATAGGCCTAATATAGCTACTCATGTTAACTTGTTTTGCCTTGAAGAATGGGAATTGATGCAGTGAACTCCAGGACTCCACTTGGTCTCTGAGGTAAACATAAAGTAATACCCCTTTCTCTTTATTTATATTATTATATTATAATCCCCCCCCCCCCCCCCCCCCTAAAATTAATTAAAATGTTTAAGTCACTGGTATGTAGTTGTCGTGACTGTTCTGCCATACAACACACTTTTAAAAAGTACAGTTCCTGTCTTTGCAGTGTAGTCATACTAGGGTTACTTGTCATACAGGCAGTACAGTGTGCTTGCGCAACACAAAGATTAACCCCATAAGTCCGACTTACTAAGGGTGTCATGTCAAGTAATGATCAGGTAATGATGCTGTTTAAAATACTGCACACGCCTTCTCTGCTGTAAAAGGGTTAACAGAGATAGAACATTCAACAGGTAAAAGCACATCCACTCGATATTTTTCTTTCGCTTTGAGACACGTGATGCTCAGTGTCGCATCTGATTGGTTACATTCCTTTTTTTTTCTTTATTATTGGTGACATTCCTTGTCCCGCCAAATGTTTAGCATAACAGCTAATCGCTTATCAGTTCTTTAATCAAACATTCACGGAATATATGGATAAAAAAGAGTAATTAAATTGTGTGTCGGTTTTAATAAAACATCGTTTCGTTTGTGATGGAACGTCAATATCAGTGGATAGTGGGAGGGCCCCGCAGTTGACAAATCGGTGACGCAGTTAAGCGTAACTGCTACGGAAGGCTATTGAAACACGAGTGGGTCCGTTTCTTGGTTCCAAAATCTTTAGTATAGAGACCTGGCACTAACAAACGAAACAGAGTCTTATTCATCGTGGTGGTTTGTGATGTATGAATGGATAGTTGACGGATTATCGTCGCTGTTCGTGCCCTTTTCTGGTGAGAAATCCGCAGCCTGGCCTAGTGAGCACGGTAACGGTATAGCAAGAGCCGCGGGCACAGACACCCAGCGGCAGGAGAACAGCAGGCCCGCCAAACGCAACTATCAAAGGTGTAGTATTAGTCTTTTGTATTCCTCATTTCTGAATGAACCGAATTTGTTTTGTTTTCTATTTTTGTTAACACACAGTTTGCTTCCTTTGTTTTGGCCTTTGTTAGTTTGTGTCTTGTTCATTTACATGAACAATAGGCAGTGTAGTATTAGCGTTTGTCTTTATGGGCAGGAATCAGTCCAATGTAAACAAATCATCAATAGACAATTTATTTACAGCAAACAACTTAATTTATGGACTATTTGTCGTATTTGGTCTTATTACAGGTTTGGTTGTCATTAAATGAACCTGTAGATAATTTTTATTTTGTCTTTATGGTAGTCTTTATTTTGGTGATCTATATGAATAAAAGTGCATGTTCTTTACCAGGCCAAGGGATATTGTATGTTTGCCAGTGGTTCTGAGGCTTAGTGATTTTTATTTTAAGTGCTCGATAGGTTTTTCTTCGTAATCCGTCTGATAAACTGACTTGAAGTGTTCTTCTGGGTTTCAGTGTGTACTCTGCTGATGGTGTGGCAGAATATCCAGAGGTCAAAAGAGCAAGACATGGTAAATATTTAGACCATATCTTCCATGTAAACAACAGTGCCTAATGCAACTTCACTGAACATTTCTTACTTACCTACTATCAAGATTTTTCCCCCCCAAATATATAATTGTCTCTGTCAACAGATGTGATCATTAGGGTTGTCAAGAAGACTTTTGCAGGGATTGCTGGGCTGTTCCGTTCGAGACACCGCAGGAAGGACGAACATGAAAAGCAGAAAGGCTTTACGCAGGTATGTTTGTATATCCACTAAGCACTTGCAAAAACACACATTGTTTGTACAGCCTTGGTTTCATGAATTCTGCACATTGTCTTGTTTCTTGTGCTTGTTGTTGGCTCAGGTTGGCAGGGTTGCCTTTATGGGTATTGATGACATATACAGCAACAGCCTGAGTTCATGGATTGAGATTGACGGAATGGGTGAGTGTGACCTACCAGCATGTCTCTGTGATCTGTGAAATTTTCTGTACATAGAAGCATCCTGAAAAAAATGTATCACAGTTTCTATAAAATTTATTAATAATATCATACTGTCCCCAAACATTTAAACGGTAGCACATAAAGCGTATTTCATACTTGCGTACAATCTGTCAGTTTTGTAATGATTTCAATCTCTATTTAGATAAACAGTTTGAAATGGGACTTAAAAATAAAGAAAGGACAGCAACCAATGTCCACCACAATATCCAGGCTTTACGTAAACCTGAGTAAGTATCATTTAGTCCATTTTTGAAATGTTTCTCAATTTTAAGCTTTTTTTTTCAGTCTTCTCAAATGTTTTGTTTTTATTATCTGCCACCGTTTTAATTATTATCTTTCCTGACGAAATGAATATCCAGTTGTAATGGTTTATCATTTTTACATGATTAAAGGGGAGATTTTTTTTCCTATGTGGCTCTTTTTATATGAATAGAAGTTTTTCTTTTCTAAATATTCCCACATCCGATGATGTACAGAATATGGGTGTAATTCAGCCAAACAATAAACACTCAGCACTTATGAATAAACATGCATTATGGAAACAATAAGAAGCATTCATGAAAGATGAACCTTACCTACCATGTGCTAACAGAAGTATCAAAACAAGGCTTGAGATACATACTTCTGCTTTGTAACTGTAAACCATATTCTGGAAGGTTGGCGATACTAAAATGATTTGTCCTTTATATGTTCTGTAACAGTCTGTATTTATCTTCTTGAGCAGTGGAGCAATGCTGTACAAGGGAAGCCAGGACAGAGGCAGGGAGATGCGCAGATCCCTGAAGCTAGTGCCGTCTTGCACCACCCACGGGCTGAGCACAAGACCGCCTGAGATGGAGCACCCGAGCCGCACACACAAACCTTGCCTGACCGTGGAGGCGGTAGGAAAACTCAATCTTGATGTACTGGGAAGCTTGGTGCGTCAATGTCTTTGATTTCCTGAGCATTTCTATTTCGAGTAGGCATTGAGAGAGAGCGATCGAGAGCATTACAGGAAGCTAGTAGAGATGGCTTCGGAGAAATACTCAAAGAGCAAACCATTACCATTTGGACGGATGAAGCCTCCAATGTAAGTCCTTGGAACACTTTTGAAATCATTGTAGCTTTGCTGGAGAAAATTAACGCTATGTTTATTAAAATCTTTTAGCTCAAATTTCCCTCTTGATGGACACAAGGCTAATGGACACACATCTCTCAGTTGCACTAGTGACGTGAGCAGACCTGCTCCAGTAAGAGGTGAGCTTAATTAAGAGCCAATATACACCCAGCAGTATGAGCCACATCCCAAATGAGTGTTGATGATAACGTTACCTTCTTCTGTGCTGTTTTCCTATAACTCTATGAAACGGTTTTAACCTTTTATTGAAGAGATTCCATTATATTTTTTACAATCAAATCAAATTTTCTGTTTGCCTTCAGCCCTTCCTAACATGTCTGTGTGGCGGGAGCCAGTATCACTGATGCAGACTAAAGACAGGTAACATTTTAACCTGTTGCATAAACATTGTTGATTAATAAATGCATGTCTACATCTATTGATTCAAATTTCTTTCATTCGTAAATCTGCTATAGAACAATAGATGTTAATCGAAGCACACCAGGAAGTGATGTCAAGCAACGAGCGTTGGATAATCAAACTGCAAGAAAAATCGTAAGTGAATCCGTGTATCTTCCGATTATTTGTTTGTTTGTTTTTTTAATATTGAAAGCAAAAAAAAATTTGAATGGTGCCTTTTTTGTTCAAAAGTAGAAAATGAATAAACAGGTTAAATATTCAATGCATGTGGACGGGAATGAAACACCCCTTTCTGCTGATTGGTCAACCATGCAGTCATCAGTTCTTCCTCAGTTCCACACAACAGAAAAATAATCATCTTCTGCTACAGTTGTACGGATTCTTAAAGCAGCGGATGATTATGATTCTGTGATGTTTGGTTGACCAATCAGCAAAAAGGGGTGTTTCATTCCAGTCCACATGTAGAGATTGAATATTCAAGCTGTTTATACAATTTCTACCCCTGAATGTAAAAGCAAAAAATCAAGGTGAATTCTTGGTTCATTTTTCTGCTTTCAATATTAAATCAAAAAAGGAATGATTGGAAGATACATGATTTCAGTGTCTTCTTCATGTCATGCAAGTGTTGCTGTCTACAATTGAAATTTGGAGATTTATGATTTTTGAAAACAGTTATGTAGCTGTAATTTGATCATTTCAAAGCAATATGGTATTTAATGTCGTCATATAGTCAGTTTTATAAGTGTAGTTCTGTTTTCCTCACCCTCTCTCTAGCCTGTAGACGTGGATCTGTCAGCTGAGGTTGAAGCCAGGTTGAATCTTAAGGAGAAAGACACTGCTGCAGGACCCTTGCTACCATCCAGATCTGAACTGATTACAGATTCAGTAAGGCGCAGTGAGGAGGAGTTTCCCAGACTGACCAAGGTCACTGCCCTTTATAAATCTTGTTATACCTTTGTCTGATTGTTTAATTTTTTGTTTTGTTTTACAGTGTTCAAGAAATATTGTGAACATGCGTACAAATATTTCTGTGTTAATTAGAATTTGGTGAAATTCTGATTAATAATGTCTCACAAATGTTAACCTGATTGCTATAAATTCTAGTTAAAAAAATTCTAAAATATCCATTGTAACAGATTAATTATTTTTAATCTGTGTATGTACAAGCAAAAGCCATTTTTGGTGCTATTTATGTATATATTTATTTAAAGCAAGCCTTTAAAAGAAAGTAGCATTAATCAGTTTACATATGAGTGAATGTAGCAGTGTCATGACTTTTAACTTAAATTTTGCAGTTAATTGCAATTAAAGGGTTAGTTCACCCAAAAAGGACTTTTCTGTCATTAATTCCAAAATCCCTCATGTCGTTCGACCTTCGTTCATCTTCAGAACAAAAAATATAGTTTTGATGAAATCCGAGAGCTTTCTGACCCCTGATAGACTGCAATATTATTACCATTTTCAAGGCCCAGAAACGTAGTAAAAACATAGTTAAAATAGTCCATGTGACTATAGTGGTACAGTGGTAGCAACGAGAGTACTTTTTGTGCGCAAAAAAAACAAAACAATTTCTTCTCTTCCCTGTCAGTCTGTGATGCTGTTCACATTGTAAACAGTGCAGCGCTTCCGGGTTCTATGTCAGAAAGCTGGCTCGGTATTGGCTGGCTCCTGCGTCAGCATCACACGTGGTGCTCACGTGAACAGTGTCGGAGACTGACATGGATGAGAAGACATTTTTGAATGGTTTTTGTTTTGTTTGTTTTTTGCCCAAAAAACATATTCTCGTTGCTTCAATTAATGATAGAAATTTAAATTTTGGGTGAACTAACCCTTTAATGAATTAAATTTAAATTTCTGGTCTCATTTCATTAATGCGTGATAAATTGCTGACAATAAATGACTAAAGCGAACATCTCCAATAAGAGAATTGTGGGGGAAAGAAAAAGCATGACTTCTTTGCTTGGGTAGCTTTGAGTGCCATTTAAACAGGGATATTCCAATATAAGTGTAAACCCTTTTTTTTGCGGAATAAAGGCTTTATCAGAAAATAGACCTTAACTGAAGTTACATACTGAACAATGATGTGCATGTAAGTTCTCAGTTTTGTTACACTGTCACGTTGGTTCCTTTCCTTCTTGTTTGAGTCTCATTTTTGTCTGTGTATCATGTAACAGGAGATGCAGCAGGAAGTGAGTGCTGCTCTTGCTCAAAGTGATCCAAACCTGGTTCTGTGCAGTGCTTTCAAACTGCGTATCACACAGAGGGATCTGGCAACCCTGCAAGAAGGCAGCTGGCTCAACGATGAGGTATTGTCATTTCAAAAGACTTTTATTAGGAATGCACCGTATATTGGTAACATGATGGTTATCAGCTGATAATGGATATTTAGTTCTGCGTTCTCATTTTTCCCTCTCTATTTTTACAATACTTTTGCCAGCATCTAATTTTCTAATGTGTACAGTAGTAAATTGATTAAACTGTACTAAATTAATTTGTTAAATGTAATCTTTTAATCTTGTAATCTGTAATTTTAAATGTATTTACAGCATTTTTAGTGTTTTATTTTTCATTTAGGCAAAATAGTATAGAATTTAATCAGCCACTTATCGGTTATTGGCCATAACATGAAAATAATTGTTGTTTCCATAATTTTTGTCTGTCATACTCATAAATCAAAATGCAGGTCAGACCTGACCTCTAATATAACGCATAATGTTATGTATATAATGCTACACGTAATCTGAAAGTTCTTATGAAACATTACCTTTGATTAAACATGTAACCCTGTCGCTCTCAGGTGATCAACTTCTACATGAATCTCGTGATGTCCCGCGGTGAGCAGGAAGTAGGAAGCAGGAAGGTCTACTCTTTCAGTACTTTCCTCTTTCCCAAGTTGCATGGAGGGGGACATGCTTCAGTACGGCGCTGGACTAAGGCTGTAGACCTCTTCCTGTATGACATCATTCTGGTCCCTCTTCACCTGGGTGTTCACTGGTCCCTTGCTGTGAGTAATTAACCATAACTATCATAGGTTCAAACATTAGAAACCCTTATATTAACAGTAGCAGTCTGTTGCGGCACAACTTTTTGGTGCCTGATGAATAGTTTTACAGGACTGTTGATTGGCTGGTTGATTTGAATAATTTATTAGCTTTTATTTAATTTGTGTCTGAGTGATGACGTTTAGATTTGTGTGTAATGTTTTCTCCTTTTTCCACGGTAGGTTGTTGACTTAAAAACAAAATCTGTACTATCTTACGACTCCATGGGTCAACGGCATGATGACATCTGCAACATGATTCTGTAAGTGATAATGTTGTGGAGCATTATACTTCACTGCTTATTTTTTTAAGACAAGCTAAAAAAAGCTAAAATGAGGAGTTTGTGTAATTGTGCTGATGAGGTTAAATGTATCCATGTTAAAGTTTGTGCTCATAGTTTGTTTTTCACAGGCGACTGTACACATTTATATTAACCTAATGACTGCATCTGTCTATTAGGCTTTATCTGAAAGAAGAGTTCAAGGTGAAAAAGGGAAAAGATTTGGACTTGTCAAAGTGGACCATGAGCAGTTTACGACCTTCTGTAAGCAGTTGTATAATTACATTAATTCATTTCATTAAATTCTATAAGAAGATTGTAAGGGTGTGTTCACACTTGGCAAGTTTGGTTTGATTAAAATGAACTGGTGCAATTGCTCTGTTAGTGCAGTTCCTTTGAAAAAGTGTGGACACTGCTGTTCAAAACCTGGTGCGCACCAAACAAGCAGACTGAGACCCCTGAAAAGGTGAGTCTCAGTCCGCTTCCAAGCGAACTGTGGTGCGGTTCGACTGATACATAAACGGACCAAAGACATTTAAACAAACCAAAAACTGGGTGTGATGTTACAAGATGCGACCCTAAAAAGGATAGAATGCTCAAGCATTGGCTCTTCACGGCATAGGAACTACGTTGCCTATCAGTTCAGTACAGCCATCGGAAACGCCGTCTCCTTGCAGCAGATTTTCATTTGTGTAAAACTGAAGAATTCCTGGTGCTGTTTTGACTCCTTTACACATTGTATAAGCTCTTCATGAATTCTCAGCTGGTAAAAAGGCCATCATATGTAGGTACGCACATACGACACGTGTGTTTAGGTCAGAACTTTTTACTTTAGGTTCGGTCTTAACAAGGACAGTGTTAACGCTAAGCGAACCAGGACTAAATGTATTATTTTCTTTTTTGGTCTGGACCAAGAGAACCAAACTACAAGTTTGAACACACCCTAAGACTGTTAGCATGACTGAGAAAATTTATTTTAAAGTTTTACTTAAAATTACCAAAATGTAATATTAATATTTAATATTATTTCAGGGTAAAAGTAACAAGACCTCAGTGATCATATTTTTTTTAATCAATGTTGTCACATCAGTCCACAAGAGGGTGCAACAAACAAATGTAAACAAAACAGCACTGAGTTATTGTAAGCAGACAACATGTACAAGTCTGTATTCGGTTTTATGTGTTTGCTCAAGCACTGTTTTTGCACTCAAATGCAACCCATATTCAAAGTTTAAAAGTTTAATTTGACAGCTGTAGAAGTGTTTCATTCTGGGTCAGGATATAAGCTCAGTTCTAATTATTGTTTGTAGGAGATCCCTCAGCAGAAGAATGGTAGTGATTGTGGTGTGTTCGTATGCAAATATGCTGACTATATCTCCAGAGGACGCAACCTCACATTCAGACAGGTACTGCTTATTTACACACACACAATTACTTACATATACATATGTATAATTATTGCAGAATTAGATTTACTATTTATTTATTCTTTCTCTCTCTAGAATCATATGCCGTATTTCAGGAAAGTTATGATCTGGGAGATCCTCAACCAAAAGCTGCTGCAGTAGGAGTGTTGGGAATGTCGTACTGACTGAATCAGATTGACCAAAGCACAGGACCATTATATGTCTGTCCCTCCTGCTCTTTTCTAGAGACTTTTGGCTTTATATTGGCCTGTTGCAAAATTCCACCCAATTCTTTTAACAGACAGTGGATTGCTGGTTCTCGGACAGTTTTGTTTGCACAAATAACCAACCCCTGCTGTATTAATCCAAACACTAGAAGCGCAAATATGGTTCAAGGAGCAGAACACTGGACTGGGGTGTGAATAGATTTGAGCAGGTGGAAGCCTCATTAGCAGTTGTTTTTGTGAGGCTGGAATCGTTTCATTCCAAGAATGTAGTCTTATCGCCCCCTGCTGGTTATACTGTGAGCAGTTCCCAGCTCACAGAAGTAGCTGTTGATGTTCCCATGTTTAGTTACGATGGGGGGGTTAAAACAAAATGAACTTTATTCTCAGTAAGCTTTCAGAGTTTCTTAGCATGGGGATGTTTTAGCATTAACATATCTCTTTTTACATTATATTTGGATTAATAAGGAATAATAAATATATTTATTTAGTTTGAATGATATTCAGTTATGTCAGCTTAGTATGTCAAGACTTGTGTGTTTAAAAACCAACAATCGTACCCATTAGTCTCAGAGCATCTTACTAGCAAGGTTTAACGTGCATGACGATGATGGTACTTGCACTGAAAGCAACAGTATTCAGTGGATCTGTTTTGTTTCTTTTGTGTCTCTACACAGTCCTGGCCTCCAAGTGCCTTGATCCGGGTGCATCTCATATTTGAAAGCCGTAAAATAGAAATGTTGAATATTTTGGCTTCACACCTCTTGCTGGAGCATCTGACATGCTTGTTTTTTTGTGTGTGTTGGGAGGTAACAGAGCTTAACACTAGTAAAAACCAGAGCTAGATGATGGGGAGGGGGAAATGCATTGGTCTCATTTTTCTGATTCTAAATGCTATATTTATAATCCCAATGGCTGTATTAGACATTCTTATTGAACTGGAACTGTGGAGCAGTGGAGTTGTGCCAAACTGACATTTCTGTGGTTTATTTCTGCAATATTCCTCTCTCATCCAGTAATACAGGATCAAAAAGTGCTTTAATTCTGACTTGAAGTGTAAAAGAAGAAAAAAGGTCTATATTTATTTGTCCGTATGTGGCTCTTCTGATTTAGTTTGAGCTTGAGTGCATATCCTGAAGTGGAATTGTTTGTGAGAATGGAGAGTATTTCGATTGGCAGTGGGTGAGTTCTGATGCGAGCTTTAATATAGAAGATGAAAAGGCCCCACTGCATATGAACTGTTTTTGTCATTAATGCAGAGTGTTGGTACTTATTTTTGTAAGTAATAAAGAAGTGAAAAAGAAACATGGCATCTGTCTTAGTCACACTCAAGTAAGGTCAAATTCCTGTCACAAGAAGTCAATACAACTGCAACATAATTCAGAAGATCTTCTAATAGTTGCTACTGTTTTATGTTTAATTGGTAATCAGAACACCATATGCAGTGAAAGAACTATTAATGTTTTGATTTGCAATTTAGTTGCATATGTTGAGCTAATGCTGTCTTACTGGTGTCATTTTTGTTCACTCTTGTTCCGCATAGGTGCATAAAAATGTATTTTATTTTGTTACTAAAATATTTATATTTCAAGTAAATGCTGCTCTTTTATCCAGTTTCCACAAAATTAGTAAGCAACAGTTTTCAACATTGATAAGAAATGTTTCTTGAGCCAGATCAGTAAATTATAATGATTTCTGAAGGGTCATGTGACTGGAGTATTGATGCTGAAAATTCAGCTTCAGAAATCACCAGATTACATTACATTTTAAAATATATTTGAACAGAAAATAGATATTTTAATTTGTAATAATGTTTGACAATATTACTATTTTTCTTGTATTTTCAATCAAATAAATGCATCCTTAGTGAGCAGAAGAGACTTCTAAAAACATTTTAAAAATCATACCGACCCCAAACTTTTCATTTATATTTATTTAATAGTGTTATTTTAATTAATATTATTGTAAACAGATATGGACAGGCAGCACATGAGTTTGTGGAGGCAGTCTTTTAATATGTGCGTTTGACATTCTTTGCTATACAATCAACAGTTTAAGGTAGGCCTTACATTTTTTTTTCCATCCATTACACTATTCTAACCAGTAGGGCCACCAGTTGTCAAATAAGCACACAAATGTAACCTTGCACTATCCTTGCCCTCACTTCACACACTATCTGGAAACAGTTTGATGGTGTAATGTTCACAGGAGACAACTGTCAGTGATGTACTTCCTGCTCTGCCATCACGTGATCTACAGGCTAATTTATTGATAGGCCTGAATTATTTAGACGGCCCAGTGTGTTCGAAAACACAGCAGATGGTCTTCACGTGATGAAACTAATATCTGCCCTAGCTTTTTGCCCTAATGTATCTCTTTTCTTGCCCATTTGTATATGGATGGGTAAGACGCGCCATTTAAATAAAAGTTACTGACAATATGTAAACAATACAATACATAATTGTAATATGTAAATGTAATTACATATGTAAATAATTTTGTTTTGCAATGTAACATGAACACGATAAGTACATTGTACCTAACAATTTTTTTTAAAATGTAAATACATAGTTAAAGTCATGCACTGTTAAAAATAAATGTTCCAAAAGGGTGTTTCTGCAGCAATGCCAAAGAGGAACCAGTTTTGGGGCCCCAAAGAACCTTTCAGTAAAAAAAAATATATATTATTATTGTTGTGAAGAACTTCGTAATAATCTTAGTGTACATTTACATGACAACGATGTACTAAAAATGGAAGCGTTTTTTGCGTACAGGCGACAAATGATCCCGTTCACATGGATATGTGAACGTGATTAAAAATACTGTATTATGCATTCCAGGCCAGTAGTTGGCGATGTAACTTTGCAAAGAAAGCCCACCGCATATATTAGACTGAATACGTAATAGACGTGCATGACATCACCACTCTCCACAGATGGTCGGTCTGTGGCTCTACCATTGGAAAAAGCGCAACGGCTTACTTGGATCACGTGTGCCTTGATAACCAATCGCATTAAAGCCTTGACGTCATTAAATTTAGTTCAGAGTTGTGCGCAGTTAATCACTATTTGCGAATACCATAGAAATAAATTAGAAGTGCCGTTAACTGAATCATACCTGTTGTGCAACTGTCTGTGACTTCTCTTATAAAACACCTTTTTTTTGGTGTAAACTCTAAAACATTCGTTTTGGATTGATCTATTTTTAGAGCAAACATGTTAAAGATTAGCCAATGGGCGTCGATAAGCTATTTCCTCACAAAAGTGATTTATTTAGCATAGTGAAGCCTCTCCTCCATTGACATCCATGTAAAAAACGGCTTCTTGTCTCCTTCCCTGTGGACCGCAGCGTTAGCAGGCGTTAAGCTTTTTACAGCTAAGGTTGCAGGCTTGCCTTCAAATGGCTTTGCAGTTTTCACAAATTCGTGTTTTTCTAGTTTACACAGAGAAGATAACGGTATCATTTTCAAAATTTTCCAATTCAAAAGCTTCCGTTTTCAGGCCCCCAAAACGCCGTTGTCGTGTAAATGAATGGCCAAAATGCATAAGAAGTTCTCTAGGGGTTTTTTGTTGTTGAAAATGGTGTCATGTAAAAGTTCCCTAAAGAACTGCTTTTCCACTATGAAGAACCTTTTGTGCAATGGAAAGGTTCCTTGGATGTTAAAGATTCTATATGGAACATAGATGCAGGGCCGTAGCTAGAGGATTCGGGGCCCCCTGAAAAAATATTGATGTGGGCCCCCACCACCCTCCACCAATATCATATACTGTACAATAGATTAACATGGAGGCCCACATAACAGAAGATGGTGATGTTGTTGTAAAACCTTTATTTTAAAAGTTAAATGTTTATATAAAAATTACAACTAATAAAAACTAACAAAAAAGCAAGAAATTGTTAAATAATAATAAAACCAATTTTTAAAAAGTAATAAATTTTTTTCCCCATCAGTCTGTTATAATTCATAAATCAAAAAGTAAACATTTAGAAATTGACAAGAATGCAGTCTAATTAAAAAAATAAAACCATTCATTGTCTTATTTTTTAATAAAGATAATATGGAACTGGTAATATTATTAAATAAAGCGAATACATTTATTCATCCAAGTGCAGTGTGTTGTATTCGTGTTTTCTCGATGTTTTAAATATCATCAGCCGGCAGGTCAGATGCATAATGCAATGCGTCGTGACTCGTGTACATTTTTTTTAAACTTTAGTTACAATAGTGTAAAAAGACAGGAATTTAGACCACGTAATCATTCGGTCGATTGTTGCGCGCACCGATAATAAAAAATGACTATACACGGCAGACTGTAGACGGAAGTTTTCTAATTCCCAGCGAAATAACAATATATAACCGGTCTTTAAGAACGTCTTGATCGACTGGGATACAACCACTCTCCTTGCCTCCCTCTCCGTCTTTTCCTGGCATTTCTGGTTCCCTGATTTATGTTTTCTTTTCCCAGACATTTTTCAGTCTGTCAGTCTCCTGCTCTTCCACCAAGTTCATCGTTAACTTCAGGCTGCCGCCTCAACTCTGATTGGTTCTGTTCACGAGCTGGGGTGGGACTTACAATTTTATTGGGTCCATCTGATGTTTGTCACTGACTCTGACTGAATAATTAATAAATACTTTAGGTCGGACTAAACCATTTTTATGGAGGTAAGAGAAGCAGATATTTGGAAAAATATTTACCCAAATTGCACGTTTTTGTGGTTTTCATTTAAATCTCAGGCATACAACTAATATAAATATTAGAATTATTCATACTACAGGGGCCTAAATAGTATAACCGCTGGATTTTGTGGGGCCCCCTGGGCAGCGGGGCCCCTATAATTGTCACCACCTTTCACCCCACTAGCGACGGCCCTGCATAGATGCCTATAAAGAATGTAATGTAATGTAATGTAATTTGTTCTTAACCTCTTTGCTATTGTAGCACTTTGAGATTTCTTTGAAATGTAAAGTGCATTATAAATAAAATGTATTATTATTATTATAATGTAAAGTGTGACCTAATTATTATTTAACAACTAAGATGCAACGGGTATAATAACATCCTCTCATTCAAACAGCTGAATTTGTGACAAAACAAGGAAAAAATATATAACTAATCACGTAATTAATAATCAGATTGCAGTCAAACTCTTTCGAATCTGTTGGTTTACAATCATTTGTTTGGTTACAAATCATTGGTTTACAATGTCAGTGCCACTAACACTGAGCAAAGAACATTCTTGTGTTTTTTTTCTGAAATTAAAGATGATGGTTGTACATCTTGTGGTCATATTGCACAAGGTCTGCATGAAAATCACCCTGGGAGTTCCTCCAAGCCATTTCTCACCTCAAGGTTTTGTGCCAGAGGTCAAAACACGGTACAGCGTGGAGACGGACGTATTTGTGTCCCCCCGAAGAGCATTCCAGGCAGCCATAGACTGTCTCGCGCTTCTGATGCCCCATGCCACACAGGGCGCACGGTCCTTTAGGTATGTTATGGTTGAGCAGATTTACACGTATGTGCTTCTCATCCCGCAGGTAGGCCGTGGACAGGTCAGTCATGCTGGCAGCCTTCTCGTAGTAGTCCGTCACGACATCGTCCATGTACATATCAGAGTGAGTGAGCTCTTCAAAAGTCCTGTCATCTACAGCAAGCATAAATCAAGAGTCATATTTGGAACATTTCTTCAAGATTTTTTAAATATTACAGATACATTTGACAATTATCAGAAATTATATCACCTGCTCTGAAAGGATTCCCATAGATGATTCCAGACAGGAATCTCCTGAGTCTTCCAAAGGAAAAGCGGCCAATGAATCCCCCGAGCTGGTCACGTATCTGTTCCCTCTCAAACCCTCCCATTGACTCTGGTGCTACACATATGTCTGACCAAAGTTACATTAAAGGCCATTAGTTAAATAAAAAAAACAGATGGAGACTCTACTTGAATCTGAAAATCAACTCATTTCTGAAAATGTTTAAATCTAAAAAACATCTATGATTCATATACATTATAACTCCATAGATATACACCCAAAGTTTGGTGTCAGTAATATTTTTTTAATGTTTTTAAAAGTCTCACCAAGGCTGCATTCATTTGATCAAAAATACAATGTAATATTAATACTGTGAAATATTATAACAAACTGGTTTCTTTTGTAATATATTTTAAAATGTAATTTATTCCTGTGATGGCAAAGCTGAATTACTCCAGTTTTTAGTTTTTCCTTCAGAAATCATTGCTCGAGAAACATCAGTGTTGAAAACAGTTGTGCTGCTCTTTTTGTGGAAACCGTGATACATTTTTTCAGGATTCTTCGATGAATGGAAAGTTCAAAAGAACAGCATGTATTTGAAATATAAATCTTTTGTAACATTATGTATGGAGCCTCTAAAAGGACATAGTGAAGTAAAACAAATATGAGATGAGAAGAAAAATTATACGTCAGTGCGTTCTCTCGCAAATGTTTTGAACTTTGCAGAAACTTTGCATTCGTTCGCAAAATGTTTGCGTTCCCCCAAGAAATTTTGAGTTTGCGCAAAACTTTTGAACGGAGCCCCTAAAGGGACATATGAAGGAAAAAAAATATGAGATGGAGGAAAAATTATTTGTCAATCCTTTTGTGTTCCCTCGCAAAAACTTTTCCGTTCCGCCGAGAAAAGAGCTCAAAAGGTCGACGAGCAAACACAAAGTTTCTCGTGGGAAACGCAAAATGTTTTGCGAACGAACACAAAGTTTCTTCTCGGGGGAACGCAAAACATTAGTGAGAGAACGCAAAAGCATTGACTTATTATATGTCCCTTTAGGGGCTCCGTAGTTTTGTGAGCTAATGCAAAGTTTCTTGGGGGAACGCAACATTTTTGCGAAACGACGCAAAAGCGTTGAAATCTATTTTTTCCTCCCATCCCATTGGCTATTTCCACCCCCATGTCCTTTTAGGGGCTTCTTATAAATGTCTTTAGTGTCATTTTTGACCCTTACTGACCCCAAACTTATGTATGGTATAGTGTAAATAGAATGATAGATTCAGAATTTGATTACATTACTAGAATTATGCAGTCATTTAATGCTTACCAAGACGTCCATCAAGACGCACATAAAGCTCAAGCACACTGAATGCTATGGTCGTGTGGGCTGGAATAACAATGGCTTTATCTCGCCCTTTAGGATTTCGACCGTCATCTATCTGGAACTGTGTGGGATAATAGAAAGCATCAGAGAACAGCAGATTTCACAGCCACGTATATAGTTTGGCCCGGGGGTACAATTGCATTTGTTTACCCTCATGGTCGTTCCACGCATTCCAGCGTGGACGGTGAGGGAACACTGTCGTGTGGTGCGGATACTCTCCATGACAATGCACAGGACAGTGCGTCCATTCTCTTTGGACTGACGGATCAAGCAGTGATCAAGGTCCACTTTCCTGATATTTAAAAAGAAATGAGAGGAGAATAGACAGAAAGATTTGTGAGAAAAAGAATGTAGAATGTATTGATTCATTTCATCTAAGTACATGAGCAAGAGTGCTGCTGTACTGAATATCAGCACTGACAGGTAATCACAGCCGCTGAAATAACTTATACATCAGTAACTTAAATTTGAGACCCAATTATGACTGTTATTTTGTCAATATTTATGAAGCCCCTTAGAAGAAGAAGAAGAAGTTTTATTTATATAGCGCCTTTCCGAAGCTCAAGGTCGCTTTACATGGTACCTTTATAATACATTTAACACTGACGCACAACTTTACAATCACAAAGGACACATATAATCACATTTAGACGAAGTACATGTTAAACAGATATGTTTTTAACTGTGTCTTGAAAGCAGTCACTGATGAAATATTTCGAAGTGAAAGGGGCAGTGAATTCCATAATGTTGGCGCATTAACACTGAATGACCTTCCACCTACTGTAGATAATCGAAAACGAGGGATGGACAGTAAACCAAGTTCAGTTGATCTGAGAGAGCGTGCAGGACGGTAGGTGAAAAGTAGATCAGACAAATATGGGGGTGCAAGACCGTTTAATGCCTTATATGTTAAAAGCAATACCTTAAAGTGGATACGTGATGAAACAGGTAACCAGTGAAGGTCATGAAGCACCGGAGTAATGTGAGCAGAACGCCTGGTGGAGGTGAGAACTCTTGCTGCTGAGTTTTGGACGTACTGCAATCTTGCAATAAGTTTTTTGGGAAGGCCAAGAAATAAAGCATTGCAATAATCCAGACGTGATGTGATTGATGCATGAATTAAGAGTTCGGCGTCAGCTAAAGTGAGAGATGGTCTTAGACGAGCAATATTTCGAAGATGAAAGAAAGAGTTTTTAACAATGGAAGAAATATGAGAGCCAAAAGACAGAGTTGAGTCAAATAAGACACCGAGGTTGCGAGTCAGTGATGAAGGCTTTATATGGAAACCATCAATATAGAAGGACTGGTCCATCCTTTTGACTGAGGCTGGAAAACCAATCACTAATATCTCAGTTTTATTATCATTTAATTTGAGGAAGTTAAGGGACATCCAATGCTTTATGTCCCTGATGCATGCAGTGAGTGAGTCAGGCAGGGATGGTCTATCGGAGCTGGTGGTGAGGTAAATTTGGATGTCATCTGCATAGCAATGGAATTGTAGTCCATGCCTGCGTATGATGCTACCAAGTGGGTGTATGTAGATGATAAACAAGAGTGGACCAAGAACCGAACCTTGAGGAACGCCCCGTGTAAGTAAATTGGTGGCAGAATTATGACCTTGTATGGTGATATAATACATTCTGTCAGTGATATAGGAAATAAGCCAGGAAAGAGCGGAACCAGTGATACCAATATCAGAAAGCCGAAAAAAGAAATGGGACTTAGGGACATGATGATGGAAATAATATGATATGGAGGAAAAACTATATTTCAATGCTTTTATGAGTGAAGGGCAAAGTTTCTCAGGGGAATTCAATAGGTTTGTGAGAAAAGGTAAATTTCTCAGAGGAACACAATCATTTTGCTAAAGAACGAAAGTTTTGTTACCAAATGTAATTTTATTTGGAGGAATGCAAAAGTTTTGCAAGCAAACACAATATTTTTTGTGAGCAAATGCAAAGTTCCTCGGGGAATGCAATAATTTTGCGAGAGAATGCAAAGGTTTTGTGGAAAAATAATGTTTTTTTTAGGAGGAATGCAAAAGTTTTGCTAATTTTTCCTCCCATCTCATATTTTTTTCCCATCACCATGTCCCATTGGGGGCTCCGTAATGTTTGCTATACCAATGAAAATAGTTCCTAATGGAGTCAAAGCAAAATCAACCTTTGCGCATTATATTTGTATCTTGTCCCTGAATGAATGTTTTTGAATGAATCGGTTAAGTGAATGATTCTGACTCACTCATAAATACAGTTATTTGTCACACATACTGTACTTCCTTAACAATATAACCTGCAAAAAGACTCACTTTAAAAATATTCACTAAATGCACGGACTGACAGCCTGTCTGTGACGTGCAAAAAGTAAGTGATACAAACAGTGAAAAGTCCTGCTGCTGGACTAAATACCAGCTCTCAGCCAATTTTGAGGAGCGGAACTAACTGTCTAACTGTATAAAAATATATACATAATGTGTCCTTTACCTTGCATTGAGCTCCCTCAGTAATGTAGGAACTTCCACCTCATGCTTGGTCACAATTCCAAATGAGGCCTTTACCGCCACAGAGTCTGAACCACTGACGTTTACTCCCACCTCGTGGATCAGATGGTTCCCCAAACGCCCATTTAGGGAAACATCAGACTTGTCTTCATAGTTCAGGAGCTGATATGAGGAGACCCCTGTCAACCAGAGAGAAATACACTCCCTTGATATCACTTACAGTATGCACTTAAAGGGATAGTTCACCCAAAAAGGAAAATTCTGTTATCATATACTCACCGTCACCGTCAAGTTGTTCCAAACCTGTATGAATTTCTTTCTTCTGCTAAACACAAAAGAAGATATTTTAAATTATGTTAATAACCAAACAGTTTATGGGCCCCATTGACTTCCATAATATTTTTTTCCATACTATGGAAGTCAATCAACTGTTTTTTAAATATCTTCTTTTGTGTTCAGCAGAAGAAGAAGAAAAAATCATACAGGTTTAGAACAACTTGAGGTTGAGTAAATGATGACAGAATTTTCTTTTTTGGGTGCACTATCCCTTTAATGCAAAAAATACCTCATTTATAACGCATAAAATGCGAAACAATTTCAATATACAGTATATAATAACTGTTTTTATGCATTTTGTTAGTACAAATTACCCAAATAAGCACATAAAATGCTTTATGACTGCCTAATTGAAGACATGCGATAACCAACTGTTTGCTCATCTAGGCCTAGCCTACTCATCAAGTTATTTTAATTGATTTCAAATTATGAAATATTTCTTCCTCACCTGCTGTGATCTCTTTCTCTCCCACGAGTATGTCTTTCAGGGAGAAGGGGGTTGTGGCATATTTGGTCTTCTTCCAGAAATGTCGTCTCCTCTTCCTCGTCACCAGGCTGAGGGGTTGATATCGGTCGGCTTCACTTAGACTGGGCACAGGGACCAGCCGTCCAGTGTTCCCCACCTGCTTCACAAAGTTCTTAGTTGCTGCCGCAAACATGACTGTAGTTCACCGCAGCTTGAGCATTTCGTTTCTTTGTATGTTCATTCACAGTGGTCTGAATTTGACTTGGTACTGGCTGTGGAAACATCGCTAAATGAGATTGAAGAGGTGCTGCTTGGGTTTGTCCAACCAGATCATAAATAATAAAGGGGTGTAAGCTGATCAGGATGTTCTTTGCCATATGTGTAGTGTCTTATCAGGTTCAAATAAATAGACCTGACACCATCACATCTGTTATAAGTAACAGTGTTTATAACAAGTATAATAACCTTTTTAATGCTTGTTCATTATTGCTTCACTTAATTTGCAAACAGAATATAATTATCTTAAATATTCTGTAATTACCTAGTTTACATTACTTGTAATTTGAACAGTTTATACTAGAACACACTGCATATCTGATTACCTTCTTTTGTATAAGTTCAAACTAGTTTACACGAAGAATATTTGTGGTTAATTATGAACACTTTATTTTACTGGCAACACTTTTCAATACATTTCTATTTGTTAACATTAGTTAACTAGTTAACATGAAACAGTGAAAAATAGCCTACTTTTAGTTTGTTAATTTCAACATTTCTAATACATGGGCTAATTAAAATCAAAAGTTGTATGATAATCGTATTTAATTAACCTGAGCTAACATGAACAATGAACAGTTGTAGGCCTATTTTTATTTACTAATATTATAAAAATATAGCAGTTATATTTTTGCATTGTTGTTAGTCAATGCATTAACTAATGTTTAGAAATGGGACCTTATTGTAAAGTGTTACCATTTGTTTTGTTTTGTTTCAGTTATTTCTTGTTATACCGTCAGCTTCAGTGAGAGAAGTAATACTTCAAAGTAGAACAGAAACAACATGTAAGAGATAAATCTTATGTTTTACCAGAATATAGCATAACAACTTCTGCTTTGAGTTTAACTTATGGTTTGGTAAATTTACCAAAATCTGTGATGATGTGTAATGTCCATTTTTAGGACAAGTTGAATGTTTGCAGTGATTCACAGATGGTGAAATAAACTGTGGTTAAAGACAACTAGGTGTTTCTCACCTCGCAACTGAACCAATCCCTTTGCCTACACTAACAAAACATGTGGATACTTTCTACTGTGAAAGGGAAGTGAACTTGTGAGTCTGCATAAAGTAATTTGTTATAATTATGTCTATACTGCAGTGTCCAAGGCTCATTTGGCTAGAATGTATTTACGGAACGACTCACTCACTCATGGCCTCATGTGGCTCCTCTTTATGTCCACCGATGGCTGGAGAGAATGAGGTCCGTTACTGTTGAAGGCACACTGGTAAAACATTAATGGGAAAAAAGAGCTTTTGTAAAGAGTTGTTTATAGAACACAGTCTGCTCACGTGTACAGTAATACTTTGTGAAGCCAGCCAAGAACATCCTGAGGTCACCCTGTTACTCAGGCAATTATGACGATAAGGTGGGAGAATGTTTGCAATGGGAATAAACTTTTTCATTTAGAATTGTACAAACAACTGTAGGACATGAATTGGAGGGAAACAGTCTAACAACCTATATTTGTCTCAAAGTAAATTGCCTTCTCAGATGTAGAAAGATTTGTGCAATTAGGCAGGCCGAGTATGAATGACCAATACTGTACTGGTTTCAAAATGAAACCCCACCCACCAAAGTTTCTTTAGGTAACATTCTGTTATTAAAGAGATAGTTTACCCCAAAATTTAAATTGTGTCATTATTTACTCTTGTCGTTTCAAGCCTTCTTTGGAACACAAAGGAAGATATTTTGAAAACTGAAAAGTGCTTTTTGTCCATGCAGTTAAATTCAATTGGCTTTAAGATTGATAAACGCTTACATGGTTGTTCTATTTATATATGTACACTTAGCCTTTTTGAAAGAAGTCTCTTATGGCTGCATTTGTTGAATCAAAAATACATTAAAAACAGTGAAATATTACAATTTAAAATATTACTGTATATATTACTATTTTAATACAGTTTAAAATGCTATTTATTCCTGTGATGGCAAAGCTGAATTTTCAGCATCATCACTCCAGTCTTCAGTGTCACATGATCCTTCAGAAATCATTGTAATATGCTGATTTGCTGCTCAAGAAACATTTGTTATTATTATCAATATTGAAAACAGCTGTGCTGCTTAAGATTTTTGTGGAAACCTTGAACCTTGAAAGCTTTTTTGGGATTCTTTGATAAATAGAAAGTTCAAAATAACTACAGAAATCTTTTTTTTAACAGAATAATTGTCTTTACTGTCAATTTAATGTATCCTTGCTGAATTACAGAATACGTTTTTTAAAAGCCCAAACTCTCTGATCCCAAACTTTTGAATGTTTTACATTTTTATAAAGTAAAAACAAAAACCTTATTGCACATTTGGGCTATACAACATTTAAATTACATTTACATATACATTTTCATGATATTGTGATCATGATCTTCATCTCAGCTCCTTGCGTTACAAGGCGAACGACTGATAGGAATATCTCATGTTAATGAGTTTTAACGCATGAATATTAATGACAGTGTTGACTAATTCATGTTTACTAGCTTAGCAAATGATCATCCTTAATACTTTATGCATTCAGGTGCAACATATAGGCGTCACACATTAATGCCACAACAGAAAAAAAACGCTTTTGTGTTTCATAAGTTTTTAAATGATTGCTGTTTCTTTTTGTCCTCCAACATCAGTAAAAAGGGGTAGCACTTTATTTTACAGTCCTGTTCTGCATATACATATGTATTTATTACCTATAGCAATTACAATGGGTTATAACTACTAACCCTGAACTTACCCCTATACCTAACCTTAACACATGTAGTTACCTTATATCACAGTACTTTCTTGGGTACTGTAAGTACACATACTGTAAAATAAAGTGTAAACGAAAAGTAAAAAAAAAGAAAGAAAAGGTTTGTCAAGCTCTACAGTGTCTAATATGAACAAATAGGTTAGCATATGATCCACTGTAGAATCTACACACCAAATGATTGTGTTTTTACACATCTAAGAAATTAAGTAAACCCCCTGCACATGTCCTATAATTAAATCTATTGGTGTCTGCTGAGTGATGCTGGTGAGCTTTGTAGTGTTATTCCCGTGATACATGATGCATTCTGCTTCAAGTTCTTCACAAGTGTGCATGATCTTAAAGAAAACTGGAGGCTCGAGTTATTTTTGCTCCAGCTAGATGAGAGGCTGGAGAACCACAGGGCGGGGGTGCACAGGCTGCCTGGAGTTTTCATACAGGGAACGTCTGCGCAGAGGTTGGCAGCTGCGCTCTCTCGGGTACAGTGGGCATCTTGTGGAGCGCATGTTGAAGCTGTGATTTTTTAACAGTCTACCTCCTGTGGCAGGCACAGGCAAGGCTTGTGCCCCACTGTCGTGAAAATGACCGCAATTCATCACCTCAGGATACCTGTATGGCTGGGGTTCTGTTTGGCCCAGGTGTTATTGATTACGTGCCAGGATGTTAAGACCGGTGAGTAACCTGCCTCACACTTTACTAACCTGACCGAACAGGTGAAGAGATACTCTGTATATCAGTAAGAACAGCTTCTCTCATGTCATTTTTATCATGGCATTTGAATATGACATTCAACTGATTTTTCATGCATCTGTGGACAGTGTAAGATTATATGTTTAAAAATGCAAAAGTCTGAACAGTTTAATAGCTTAGCAAATGATCATGTTTAATACTTTATGCAATTCAGGTGAAACATATAAGTGTCAGACATTAATGCCACTACAGAACTGTTGTGTGTTTCATAACTGTTTAAATGATTGCTGTTTCTATGTTTAAAAATACAAAAGTCTGAACAGTTTTTCTTAAGGTGCTTCATTTACTGTAGATTAAATGTGAACTGGATTTCTTCCACTGTTTGTTAAATAATAAAGCCTCATTTTGTATTATTGCAGTAAAATTATTATTATTTTTAGCATGAAAGCACTATGATAATTTAAGAGCAAGTATTGGCTATTAATGTCTTACCATATAGTTTAGAAATAATTTATTTAGCCTCATTTAAAGCGACTAATTCCCTATTCAATTTCATTATGGAAAAAAAGAGGCATTGGAAGGCAGTGATGTCTATCATTGTGCCTAACAACTCTTTTAGTGTTCCATGGAAGTAAGAAAGTCATACAGGTGGAACAAGTGTGAGTAAATTATGACAGAATTTATATTTTTTGGGCAAACTATTCCTAATTCGTCCTATTAAACGGATGTGGGAAACACACCACAAGGAGATGTTGTTTTAGTCCATTTATGTTTTGAACAGCAATGAAAAAAATGAGGTGATGGAATAGGCCTATTGCTGAAGAAAGTTAATGCCAGATGAAGAAAGCATTCCCCGCTTTTTAGTGCTAATGTTTGTATTAAGTATATGAAAACATTATTTCTGAATGTTCTCTGAACGTTCAAAACTTCCAATTTTTAAAAATGTTTTAAAAACATATTTTTTTCTTGGTTATTTGAATGTTAAGGAAACATTTGATCAATCTTCAAACATTTTGGGAACCTTACTTTTGAATGTTCTATGAATATTCTTAAACAAGCAGTAAATGTAAAAAACCTTAGACGAATGTCCAACTAAACCAGAAAACAACCTTCAATGAATGATGTATAAACAATTTTTGTGCAAAAGACCAGATAATAACGAACATTCTATTCATGTCACTGAAGGAATGTTGTTCATAACGTGTGAGTGAACTTTGCCAGAACATTCCCTGTTATCTGCACTGCTGATTTTTATCTCAATAGCATCATTCCTTGCTAATTAGCAGAATTTTGATTTCTAATTTCATTGTGAAAGCTAAATTGTCCTGATCTTCTGCTTTGTCAGCTCTATTGGAGCTGGAGACATAATTTCATGGCCTTGCGTGTAATGATGTGCGGTTTTTCTGGACCAAAGCAAGCCACCAATTGTGGTCAAAGTTCTTTCCAAAAGAGATGCTAGACACACCCAATCATGTGGCGAATGCGTTTGCCTAAAATCCAACTATGATGTTTTCACATTCATTTAGGTTAGTCATACAGTTCGGTTAAAATTGATCAGTATTGTTGGGTAACTCAGCAAGAATCAAGTCTAAAATTATATTACATTTTGCAATGTAAATTCATGCAGTCCCACTC